GTTTCCCCTCACAATAACACTACCCCTCCCTTCATTCACAACCTCTTGTCTCCTCTCTGGCACTTTCCCAGAGAAACTATCTACTTCCTGGGTCCTGACAACATCAGTCTGCTAGCTCTTAAACATCCCCTCTATCCAAGCCAGGGGACAGAGCCCTGGGGCTGATAGGAGGGAGGCAGGCAGCATCCATATGCGTTTGTCAAAAATGGGTTCTAATCCTCATGCTACTGTAACCTTGGCCTCAGTCTTTCCATCTGTGAGATGGGGATAGTGGCTCTTCCATTTCTCTGCAGACCATAGTGAGGGCTACACCTGACAAAGGTTTTAGCAGAAACCTATTTTTGGCAAACTAAGTAGAGTGCAATCAAGCACTGAAGTTTGCAAATTTCCATCAAGCTTATTGCATTGTTTTGGTTGGAAAAAAGAAAGTCTGAGAAAACTGAAATATTTTGATTTTTTTTTGGTTGAAACTGATAGCTCATTGTGAGGTGTACTTTGATCTCTGCTCATGAAAGATTTTTAAAAGTTCAAAAAGGATGCCACAAGTTGCATTTCACCCAAAATGAATTCTTTTCAGTTTAACAAAAACTGCAAGAATTTTGTAATTGACCCCAAACATTTTTTTTCCCACAGGTCAAGAAAACGAAAAAGTTATTCACATAACTCTATTGAAGATTAGTGTTGTTGCATTTGAAGGAGCTTTGAACACAAGGAAGGCTTCTTAAAAACTGAGCATAATTATTATTAAAGTTTCTAAACAAACCTGGCTACTTTTATCACTTGGCAGCCCTTTTCCCAAATGTTAAAGGCGTTAACCCCAGATTTCAACTTTGACAATCCCCTTGTCACTCCCAACGCCCCATGCGTCCTCCATATTCAAGAGTTCTTGTTCTAAACTATCTTGGCGTTGCTGTGAGCTGCTACTCTCTACCTCAGCAGCAGTTGCTTTTCAGTAGCATACGATTCCTATGAAGATAAAGGGAATTTCCTCCTTTCTATTCAGGAAAAGACCTTCCCTGGGACTCTTGTATATTCATTCAAGGGGGAGATTTTGCTTTCTCCTTATATACAGTGTGTAGAACAAAAAGCTCCTTATTTTTTATTTGAGACCAGAAAATCGGGCCTGAAATTTACCCTTAGGAGCAGAGTCTATACATACAGGCCAAACAGCCTCCTTGTTACTGACCCCTTCATGCTGATCTGCCAATACCCATTCTTGATGACATTTAGGTAGTGGAAGCTCCCGGTGTAGTAAGCTGGGTCACTTCCTCCAAGGATAATTTCCCCTCCAGGTTGCAGGTGAGAGTTCCTAGGACACAAAACACAATAGGGGTGCTTTCTTCCTTGCCCATTGCCTGGAGCAGGCTGCTGGAAGTCCTCTACAGGTAAGGCCCTGCCTTGTAGGTCCCCATGTGCAGCAGTGGCCAGGTGACAGGAGTGAGAGGAACGCAGGATGCTGTGGAGAGAGTTAGTGCACAAGGGTGACTAGAATTGGATGCAAATGGTGGGAGTCTCAGATTAGAGTCTTCCTGACAACCTCCAGCAAAAGCTGCCATGCAGGATTGCTTGCAAGGGGCCATTCTTTAAAGGTGGAGAGTCTGACTAAGCTCCACAGTCCCAGCGGATGCAGTGGCAGAGCTGAAGCGCGCCCATTTGGGGCACGATTTGGGCAAAGCTGGCAGAGCTTACCACCCAGAACCAGGGTGCAATTGTGATTGTTAGTGCAGTGACGTCCCAAAGAGAGTCAGGGTTTAATTGTCTTCTTACTTCGAAGCTCTGCAAAGAAAAAGAGACATAATAAAACAATGATCCTGGCTGCATCTGCCCTCAGGCAAATGCATAGCCGAGTGGCCAGATCCTTAGCTGGACTCAAGTGGTAAAAAAGTGACCCTGATTTTCACCAAAGCAGGACACCCTAAAAATGTAGGACTATGGGGGAGGAGGCCTTCAGATGCAGCCATCCCCTGCTGTCGCATCACTGTGAGCAGGCACGAGAGCCAAAGCTTCAGCTTCTGACTCTCATCTGTAGGTTGTTTCTCGTCCTTCATTACCGAGTGTAATTTTACTGCTCAGACATGCAAGGGACTGGGGGCACCCGTGTGAGTTGAGCCCAGGGCAGGCAGCTCCTGGGTTAGCTTTGCCAGATGCCTTATGCTGGAGCTGGCTGGGAGAGGGATTTTGTTGCCACAGCCACATTGGAGGAAAGAGCCAAAGGTTTTGCTCCCACCAATCTTTTTTCTTTGCTAGGTTTTGATTTTTCATTGACAAACTGATTTTCCCCTTCACTTTTGGCTGCTGAAAAACTGAAACCATGTTCAGTTTTCAGGTTGTTTGGGTGGTATGTATGTGTGTGTGTAGGGGTGATGGAAATGTGATGTATGAAGACCAAGAAAGTAAGTTTTCTTCTGAAAATGTCTCTTTTTAACAGAAAGGCCTTTTTCCACCATGCTATGCTAGGAAAGCATCATGTGCTGTGAACCCAATGAGTACTGAGTTCTGCATGCTTGCAGGGTTGAATGCTAGGTACTCACACTTTGCAAGACATGCACACACCTGAAACTCTCCCAGTTCCCCCAGCATAGATGCCTTTTGCTCCCAGTGTTACCCACCTACTATAGTAGACAGAGAACTCTTCCTCCTTCAGGATCTGCTGAGAGAGGATCCGGTCGAACACCGGGGTGATGCCGTCGATGGCTTGGCTGGGGTAACCCATGCCCAACACCCCATCAAACCTGGCAAAGATGAAAGGGAAGGCAGGCAGAACCGTGGCTTCTGCAAAGACCTGGATGATGGGGATGTCTGCCACCTGGGGAGAGCGGCACACGTGACAATGCAGCCTCGGGTAGGAAGCCACAGGGTCACACACACGTCACACTAGTTCACAAACACACAGGCTCTCAGGGAATGGAGCTCTGCTGAATTATACTAGCTGGGGACCTGGCTACTCAGCCATTGGGGGTTAAAGCCTGACTCTAGGGAGTCTTTGCACTGACTCTGAATGGGTTTGGAGCAGGCCATTCACTAGACCTCTGTTTATCCCTAGCACAGCATTGCTGGTGCTTACTGCTTACCATGACAACATCCTGGCTGAGGAAGCCTTTCACGCTCCCTGTTCCGTACTGGATAGCAAAGCCCGTTCCATTCGCTATGTACGTTCGGGACTTGGAAGAGTCGTAGCGGTTGTGAGAAACTGGGAAGAAGACACATATCCAAAAGGAAAGATGGAGGGAGATAAAGTCAGCTGGCCTGACACTCGGTGAAACCTTCCCATCCAGCTTCCATCACTGCAGCATGTGAACATCTCACTGACTGACTGCCCTGGTCAAGAGAGGCTGAGTAGTACACCCATTTCACAGACAGAAAAATGACCCAGAGCCCATCAGTGTCAATGCTCTCACAAGGAAGCCTTTAACTGCCATGGACTTTGCACCATGCCCAAAGAAACTTTAAGGCTTGCTTGAGGTTTCTCAGGGAATTATTTCCAGGTCTACAAATAGACCCCATATCTCCTGGTTCACCATTTAGTGGCTTCACCACAAGAGCAACCTCCCTCCACAGCAGTCTGCAGCATGCACCAGGTCTCCTACATCCTTAAACCCTGGGGATTTGTTCCGAGATGACTTTCCAGCCCTTTCCATCCCCCCCCGCATTACCTGGCATGTACCACCACTGAGGGTTTGAATCCAGAACCATTCCCTGATCTCTGAACTGTTTGGAAACTGCATTTCCCTAACATTTCACTCTATGTGATGGTAGTGAGGTCTCCCCTCTGTGGGAATGGTTCATAGATTCATAGATGTTAGGGCTGGAAGGGACCTCAGTAGGTCATCGAGTTCAACCCCCTGCCCTGGGCAGGAAAAAGCGCTGGGGTCAGACAACCCCAGCTAGGTGCTTGTCCAGTCTCCTCTTAAAGACCCCCAGGGTAGGGGAGAGCACCACCTCCCTTGAAAGCCCAAGGGAGGTGCTGTTATTGCAGAATAGACTAGGTCATGGTTATAAGGTTCAGTATGTATCCTGCAGTACCACCCTGCTATTCTGTGCTATGAGTGCCTTTGCGCAGCATAGTTTCATCCACTTGCAAGCTAGTTCCCTCTGAAGACAAACCCTGGCTGTGCACCCACAGCTTCCTCCCCTCTCTGGATCTGACATCCCTTTCCTTCTGAAATGGATACAGGGCACTGCAAAACCCGCAGGAAATGGGGTCTGACTCTGCTCTGAATCCAGCTGGGAAAATGGAGCAATTCCAGATGCACACCACATGCCCAGAAATCACAACCAGGCCCCGCTGTGCCCCATGGCTCACCACAGGCGCTGTAGAGGGGGGAGCATTTGTAAGAAGGCACCCAAAGGTTGGCCGAGCCGGTGTCAAAGACCACTTTGAAGGTCTGCGCTGGTGTGCCGATGCTGATCTCTCCGTAGTACTGGGTCTGGAACATACGCAACAGATGGGAGGCAGAATGAGACTGGAGCAGAGGGGACACTGATCTGTACGTGGGGAGTGTCCCATAGGGAAAATGACACATGTCCCTATCAAGGTATCCTCTGAAGAAGAGGATCCTTCACTGAGGATCTCAGAGCCTTTAGCAATCATGGATTACTGAAGCCATTGCCAACCATGCCAGTAGATAACTGTCATCCTCCCAAAGGAGACTTGAGTTCAGTTCCTGTTCCCCCACAGACATTCCCACTTGGAGGGGACTACGGTGGATGCAGTGGCAGAGCTGAGCAAACTATTTAAACCTAGATCTTAAAATGTATTTTCAGGCCTTGACTGCTTGGGCATAAGCTGAGTGCTTCTTTGCAGCTCAGCTGCATCAAGAGTTAGGAGGCTCTGCACATCCCAAGAAGAGGAAATTTAGGGGAGAAGATAGGTGCCTCCAGCACCTGAGAAGGGGCTGTGAGTATCTCAGTGGTAGCAATTGAGCCCCCATGGGCCTAATCCTACAGGGTTTCAAATGCCCCATGTTCAAAGGGACTTAGACACATACGAGCCTCAGGGTGTCTGCAGCACAAAGCAATGCCAGGATAAGGTTTGCTGCTCCAGCAATGCCCCGGACCAGAGTGTGAGGGGGAACTCACATCCAGGTAGTTAGTGAGGATGGTGGGGGCCGTCCCGTTCCGTGGTCCCGTGGCACGGGCGTATTTATTCTGCTTCAATTCAGGAAAGACGTCCGCCACGCTCACGCCCATTTCCTGCAGGGTCTGGCGAATCGAGGGCATCTTCTTCAATGGGATCCTGCAGGTTCGGGGAGAGAGGAATAATGCCTGGTGCTTCAAGTGGGGCAGGGCCAGCCTGGTACATCATGCCTGGCAGTTTGTTACACATCCTCTCTCTGCCTCAGGACAGACAGAGCCAGATGCTCTGCAGGGATCGCCGACACCCAGAGGCGCACGCCAACCCTTGAAAACCCCGTGATGCTGTTGTTGAGCAGGGCCTGCTCCTGCTCCTACCTGATGTATATCAAGAGAGATTCCCCTAGAGCTAACCAAGCCCAGCACCAGATGGGCAGAGAGCAGAACAGAGCCTGGAGAAAGCACTGCTGGGGTGACAGCGGCTTTCCTACCCGCCAGTCGGTAGTGCCTGCCTAGTCTGGGCAAAGGCATCTCAGTCACTGTAGATGGCAGCAGATATCTGCAGCAGAACGCCTGGCGGGCCCAACAGCAGATCTGCCGGGCAAGTGCCTGCCGAGAGTCTAAAACCCCCGACTACTCCTGAATGCCTCACTTTCCCTGAGCCTGATGAAGGGCGTGTGAGCCTGAAAGCTTGCAGAAAAAGAAATATTTTTTACAATTTCTCAGTTGATCTAATAAAAGGTATCATCTTTGAACCAAGAGTTCTAGATTTTTGCCTTTTCAAACAGCCAGGGCATTCCCATGCTTGTCCCAGTGCAGACTGAGCCAGGCAGAGAACTAGGAGACAGAGGCCCCAGGGGTCCAGAGCACAAAGTGATGGGGCTTTGCAGACTTCGAAGGGCAGCCAGAGGGAATGGAGGCAGCTAGATCTGACACCTGGCTGTCTCCTGTCAAAGGGGCAGAATGTGCCAGTCTGACTTGGCATTTGGCTACTTTGGCAGGTCATGCCCTGAGACTACTCAGAGCCTCAAGCAGGCACTCAGGACGTTGGCTTGAAGCCTCATCCACAATGACCCACACTGCTGTGCCCCAAGAGTGGTATGGGGGCACGGGGGCAGCACCCGTGGGGAGGGAACAGCACTGCTTCCTGCAAGGCCACTTCACCCTGAGGTACGTAGGTGACACCCAATGACAAGTCCACGTGGGACTGGACAGGCTCACAAGCCTCCAAGGGTACAGGGCATCATTTGCACCTTGTAGCTTCTTTTTCTTCCCCATGCTCCCTGGGTGCTGTGTCCCCTGCAACCCATGTGGCCCAAATTCCCATCCTGTCTCTAGATGCTCATGGCTAGAAGCAGCTTCTTCCCCCTGAAGAGGAGATCAGGCTGGACCAATGGTCTGTTAAGCTGAAACTATTTCTGCTTCCTTTGGCACAGCCTGATTGCAGAGAGGGAATGCCCCCAAAACACCTGCCTAATGGGCACTGGTCCTTCATACTCATTTTCTTTCCTCCACTTTCCCCTCAGGCCTGTCCTCACCTCCAGTTCTCCATCTTCTCCTGCCAAGTTAATTCTCCCTCTCTTGTCTCTATCCCAATCTAAAACAATATCTTTGCCTTTTCTCTTTCTGGTAGTGTCTCTTTTCCCATGTCTGTTTCCTATCATTTCTTCAAGCCTAGGATTTTCACTGATTTTCCACACATAACATTTTCACTTATGACCTCCTAGGTGCCGGTTTGACTGGCAAGTGAGATGTCAGCTGCAAAGACTGCCAATGCAGTCACTTAACTAGAACCGTTGCCCTTTGATCTGAGCTGAATTACTTCTCATGGTCTCAGCTCATTGCCTAGAAATGGAGCCCCAGCAAGAACATTCCAGTTTGAGCCCAGGCCAAGCTTGAACTCTTAGATAACCTTCCCTGCCCTATTGGGGCCTAACATCATCTCCCTCCAGGCTTCTGCAACAAGACTAAAGAAACACTCATTTCCCAGTGACCTGGCTTGAGTTCTCACCTTTGTCATTGCATTTGCACCTGTGGGGGGAATCTGGAGTTAAGCCATTAGTTTCAGTGGAGCTGCTCTGAATTTACCCAGGCATCTATAAGAGCAGAACCTGGCCCTGAGCCTTCATCTGGAGACAACTCTCAAGAGCAAGGGACTACATTGGGGTGGAGATTCAGGAAGAGGGTACTGTAAGCCCCCTGCTATTAACCTCATTAGGAGGGCCTTAGAGGTGCCAACTATTAGCTCCCTGCAACTGGTAGGTAGACAGTCCTGAAACACTGATACATGCTCAGGATGCTTTGTGCTGGGCCCACCACAAAGTCTGGCCTTGAGGACTGAGCATCATGCAGCCTCTGCTTCCCTGCTTTCAGAACCGATCTAGGATTTGTATCTAAACACTTTATCTTCCTCACTTTGTTTTTTAAAACAAGAGATGCTGCTGTTCAATGCAACCTCCCATTGGGCGCAAGAGCAAAGAATGTCCAGATCTGACCAGGATCTATGCAGACAAGGGGGTGAGATAAACTGATGGGGTGGTCCTGCTTTCCACCACAAGCCACAGCAATGAGAAACAATCTGGGAATGTCTCTCTCTCACTTACACACACACACACATACCCCCCGCCCCCACCACCAAGCCATTAGCACTGTGCAGCATGGTACCTCTGTAAGGCATCCACTGTACAGCAGAAGAAGCTGGCCACCCAGGCAACCATCAGAAAGACCCAGCATTGCTGCATCCTTCTGCCTCGTTGCATCTGCGCAGGCATCTCTCTCCCTCTCTGAGACAGCAGATTCCTTCTCATGTCCTGGGAAAGGAAAAGCTCCTTGTGCTTTTATAGCAGAGTCTCTTGACTGCTCATTGGTGGAAGGCCGGGGGTGATAAATCTTGCCCATGGGGGCACTCCTGATGCACAATGAGTTTGACCTCACTTCCTGGCCAGGGCAACTTGGCTGGGGACATGTACGCACACACAACACAGTATATACTGGACATGTCCCAGCAAGGCAGGTACATCCTGGCAAAGACATTATGTAGAAGGATTCATAAGAAAGAAACAGCTCCCTGGAGATACCGTGCAGTCTTCTCTCTGAATAGCCCTTCTCAAGCTCAGCTCCAAACATCTGATGATGATGGGTATGCATGGGATATGGGCCAAACCCCTGCTGGAGTAAACCAGGACTGTGCTACTAGAAGCAGCAGAGCGAAGATGACTTGCCCCATTGTGGGTGAATTTGTTCATCTCCATGCTAGAGCTGGGGGAAATGAGGCAAGTGAAGTGGAGACATTTCCCCCTAAGCTGAGAGCAGAACTCAGGAGTCCTGGCTCCCGGCTTCAGTTCTGCTTTAATTGCTCTGTGGCACTACTGCCACTGAAAAGATTAGGCAGTGGGCCAAATCCACTGGCAGGTGTAAATCAGTAAAATTGCACTGAAGTCATAGAATCATAGACAATGAGAACTGGAAGGGACTTCAGCAGGTCACATCTAGTCCGACCCCCTGCTCAAGGCAGGACCAGCCCCAACTAGATCATCCCAGCCAGGGGAGGTCATTCTTCCTGCCCCTTGGGCAGGGGCCTGGACTCGATGATCTTCCGAGGTCCCTTCCAGCCCTAATGTCTATGAAATGTCTATTCCAGCCTTTCAAATCAATGGAGAGACACCCTTTTACACCACACAAGAACCTGACCCTCCGCCTTTTTTAATGCATAACATCATGCACAGAGCTAATACCCTTGTAGGTGTCACATATTGGTGAACGTGGCTTGAGTATTGGTACTGAGGTGGGATCAGCACCTCTGAAAACCAGGCCACTTATTCTATTATCAATCATTATCATCAACACATTATAATTAATTAATATTACTACTACTAATAATAATTTGCATTATCAGATCATGGGGCACCCTGGGAGGAACTCCACGGTGCTCGGTGCTGAACAAACACAGATGACAGACAGGACCCCGGCGTGCGACCTGGCCAACTGTATATTCACCTGTATCATGCTTCTCTGGCCCCAAACCAGTGCCTGTTCTAGCTCCCTGTACCTACTAGTCTGGTCTTGGATAAAGCAGGAGAGATTTCAGACGGGCCTTCAGGAGTCAGCACAGGGATCCAAGTGTCTTTATTTACAGTAACTGTATTTTCCCACAGGCTGCAAGCACATGGATTTTCCAAACCCAGTGGTCTCCCTCCCTTCCACCCTCCCACCCCCACCCCAAGGGCATTCCAGGCCCTGAGTATGAGCCCAGGCTGTCAGCTGGCCTTTGAGCTGTGTGTGGCATAGCCATAAAAAAGCAGGGTGTGGGAAGTGCCGATTTAAATAAGGGGCTGGGATTCACAGAAAGCTCTGGGAGCAAGGGAGATCTCAGTTAACTGCAGGTGAGGCCTGGAAGCCAGGAACCCTCTCATGCCACCAGGATTGGGGCACCCACTGAGATGGTATCACTGGCACATAGCACTCAGGAAGGGGACTGGATGTTTATTAACCTTTCCTTGCCCCCTTACATGTCAGCACAACCACTTCTACAATAGGAGCTGGTGAACAGGGGCAAACGCACGGAGTCAGGGCTTCCCAGGCACTCCCCTGCTTTGCTTCTTGCAGGGAAATGTTTAAGTGCCTTTGAAGATCTGGGCCAAGGTACAAAGCAGTGGAGAATCACGGCCAGGTTCCCCACTTGAGCAAATATTCCTAGCTCCATTAACACTGACAGAGGAGCTGACCAGCTTCATCTACACTTGCACCTTGTGCTGTTAATTGCACCGATGCAGAGCTAATGGCCAGGACAAATGACATCCCCTGAGGAAGAACATTCAAGGGGGCTGCTCATCCAACGGTGAGCAAGCCCCTGATCTCCTGCTTATTCCAGTGACATCTTTGAAGTCATTGCATGCACCAGGAGCAGCCCCACGACCTGGTCTGAAATGCATGACTCCAAAAGCAGTTGAAAGACAAACAAGTCCCAGTGGGATCTGTCTGCAGGCTCTACTAGACCCCTTAGCTAAAGTGTTTGGTTGCTGGACACCCCAGCCAGTTGCATGGGGCACAACCGGAGAGGTACTGATTAACCCCGCTGGACACAAGGTGTGGCAGAGAGCTCTCAATAACTCCTGGTCTAGTTTGCATCCACGTCCATTGGAGTCCCTGCCTTGCGCTCGGTGGCTGCTCACTCCAGCCCTTGGCAGGCTGAGCCAAAGCAGTGAGCTCAGCAGCTTGGGGACCCCAGTGGGAAACTACTCTGTAGGCAATAAAAAAAAATGTTCTCGGAAGGAAGCCGGTTGCATAACAGCTTGCACCACGACATGCTCAGCTAAATAAACAGCCCCATGCCTGCCCACTTTAAACCACATCACTGTTACTCTGCTCACACTGGGAACGGTGCCAGTGGCAGCAGGGAAAGCCCATGGGCCTGCAGGGGACCATCCTGGCCCCAGCTGCCCTGACCAGGAGACCAGACCATGTCAGGAAGGAAACCAACCTGTTCCTTTGTCATGGACCATTTCAGAGCTCCCAGGTCTGTACTCCCCACAGAAGCAGTTAGCATGCAGGCCCCAGTCTCCCACAGCCCAGAAGCAGTCTGGGACGGGCTGGGAGTTGGGGTCTGCTAGGGATACAGCCCAGACTCTACAAACATGGTGCCCCAGTCAGAACCGGAGTGTTTAACCACTCCACAGATGCAGTCCATGCCAAATTCGCTGCTTGTTTCTGACCCCTCTTCTGACCTCTTGTTTCTGGCCCCACGGGACCATCTCTCACCAGGCTGGTCCTGCTCAGGGAAAGCCACTCTCCACCCCTCTCAGCACCTCTACAGGCCAGGACCTGGCAGGGTCACTGGCAGGCTCCCTGCTTCCACGAGCCAGTTGTGCCTGACGTCTTTTCCCACACAGGGACATGAAGCCTCTGTCCCCCTGGGACCGGGGGCAGTGGGGCTGCGTCACAGCGGGGCTCCCGGTGCCCCCTCTCATCAGGTTGCTGCAAGAAAAAGGTCACAAGCTACCAGCCCCTGCTTGTGTACGGGATCTCTAGGAACATGAGAAAGAGCTGAGCAAGGAATTGGCAGATATAACCCCCCTTCCAGGGCATCCCCCAGGCGTTGTTTATACTGTGGAGCTGAATGCCATAAAGGAGAGGCCTCAAGCTTTCATGTGGTATCAGGAGAAAGGGGCTTGCTAGATTGATGACTCTTGGAAGGGAAGTGGGGGTGAGTCTCATGGTCCGGGGGGGACA